GGGCTCAAACCAATGTGATACAATTGTTATTCCTATGAAACCATTTTGACTTGCCTGCTCCAAAATTATCAATATTTTTTTGTTGATTTAGAGCTAAAAATAAATAAAATTACAACCATTGTTTATCTCAATATAAAGTATTCCCACTTATGGTGTTACAAAATACTAGTTACTCGTAGGACCCCAATGTTAAGAAAATAATAATAATAATTAAAGTACCTGATATTTTTCTCGGTACAATTGTACAGCAGCTGCATGAGAAAGGAGTAAGTGGTGTGTCACCAAATATGGTTCAGTACCCGAATCTCCACCAAGGCATTTTGGGTTATACCAATCAGAGCATCGTCCAGGTGCGTGGATCCCGATTGTGTAACCATGGTTACTAACGGTATATGGCTCATTAAGTGTGGTCCAATGCTTTACTCGATCACCAAATTCCTTATAACAAAGGTCTGCGTATGCTTTAAAGTCATCGCTGCGTGTACACATTTAAAAATGTATTTATTGTATATAATAGTATTTATATAATTAAGTGATCAATATTATACAAAGGATGGAATTTGTCCACTTACACAATACGAGGGCTTAACAAACCACCATATTCGTCCACTAAGGCTTGGGGAACATCCCAATGGAAGAGTGTCACTAATGGCTCTATACCTATATATAGCATGACCAGTAAAAGAAAATTAAAAGTTTGATTAAACAATTGCAGGTACTGTTATATTATGAGGATTTTATGAGATCAGGAGCTGTATCACCATTGCGTAGGAGTTCATTGGTGAGATTATTGTAGTATTCGATTCCTTTCTTGTTAATTCCACCGCTTAGTGTTCCCACTAATAATAATTAAAACAAAATAAGAAAATATAAGCCAATAGGTATGGAGAAATAGACATTAAATTGAATAAAATATGTTAAACTATAAAGTGATTGGGTCGCAATAAAATATGTTGATACGGATTATCAACTTACTTGGTAATATTCTAGACCATGAGATAGAGAACCTATAAGAATCCAACCCCATATCCTTCATCATTGCCACATCTTCCTGTAATTACACAAAAGATGCACATTATAGGAAAGAAGCTAAAAATTAAGGATCTCATCTTTAATGTCATGTGCTCAATTCAAATATATAAGCTACATAATAAAATTTTGTGATTTTCAAACTTTATAGCGGTGATATTGATCAACAGCAACATCTCCATTGCTGCCATCAGCGATCTTTTCTGCAATTAACCAAATTTATGATTTTAATTAAGCATAAAGTTCACGGAAGTCATATCAACTAGTATGTGTGATTGTGTGCACGCGTGTTTGTAGACCAAATATATGCATACTACATGACCATTAGTAAATAAAAACACAAAGGAATTTAGCTATCTAAACATTTAAAGAGGAGAATGATGTTGGAACTTCTTATTTCTTTTCATGCGATGTGTCATTCCTCTTATATTTTACACAATATCTTTAGTGCATTAAAAACTTTGAATTTTATTTTTCACAGTTACACTTATTAAATGTCAAGGCCTTCTTCAATTTTTTACAACTTTGATGGGTAAGATCGTAGTTTTGACTCACACAAACTTGAGAACGGCATATATTTCTACGCAGTTCCCACTGAGCCAATTTAAAAACTTAAAACAAAATGAATTCGCTCTATATAATAGCTTTTGAAATGAAGTAGCTGGTCATCAATTTAACTAATTGATTGTTCAATAAATATAAAAACTAATCGATTGTTTGATTCAACAGACCTGGATGGTCGTGGGTGAAGGTATCCCATACGCTCGGTCCTTTACCATCTTCGTTTGCAGCACCTTCTACCTGAATTGCACATACAAATATATATATATAACACGATATATCGAATGAAGATGCCTATATGCATGCATGGGACATGCTAGATGATCTGAAACTGAAATCAAATTAAACCAAATTAAAGAGTAGCACTAATTAAGCTCTCAGAAGGCACTGACTTGGTACGATGCTGATCCTGCGCCAAATGTGAACTCCGGAAAAAGAATATCGAAATCGGTCCTATTGAGAGTTGCACAAACAACAGGTGGATCTGTCCCGGCAGCATTGGTATTTGCCAATGCAAGGCCAAGGAGAAGCAGCAGCACACAAAAGAGCAAAGAGCGGAATTGCAATGCCATAACTGAGTGGAGGGTTTTTGGTGTAGGTTTTCTCTTCCTGCTATATTGCATGGGCTTTATATAGAGGGAGTACGTAACTTCTACACGTGAAAATAATAAATCAAAAACGTTTTTATTTATTTTTCCTTTCTTTTTTGTAAAGTCAAGCGGGCTTTAAAGCTAAAGTAGGGGGACAGACACATCACGATATCATTCAATATGGAATCCCTTGTTTTTTCTTTTTCTTTTTTCCTCCTTTATGCTGTCTCTCCTGGAAGCTCTTGCTCATCTTTATGGGTGAACTCTTGCTCATTGGTTCCTTAGAAAGTATTTATCTCTCATCAATAGTTGATCTTCGATTCAAAATAGACGTTAAGATTGAGAGTGTGAATCTCACTCATTGCTAATCAATTTTGAGTTGGATAATCATATTCTAATAGAGTATCATAAAGTATTATAATCAAGAACGTTCCATGCTAAAATGACTAAATTAAACGACTTGAAATATATTTTCAAGAGCTGTTCATCACCAAACTTGTCAACAACAATGAAGAAAACTATAACAGTGCTTCTGCACTACTGTGAGCAATTTGAAACTTCTGTGGATCTGTGGATCAGCGATGCTATTAATTAAGAATTAATGATTTATTGAAGCGTTGGCTCAATGCATGCAATTGACTTCTGCTAACTAATTTTCAGATCGCCTCCTTTGTGCAATCTCCACACGTTACATATAACCTAACGATGAGAAGGGATTTCCATGAGAGAGCTATAATGATTGGGGGAGATATTCCTATATTAAATAAAATATAATTGCCTAATTAAATAGGATTTAATTAGCACAATTAATTAACCTAAGGAATATTTCTTTTTTCAAGTGTCCCCATTTTATTGGTTGCCGAAAATAGGTGTTCCTACAAATTTTTATTAAAATTTACACTGTTAAATTAAATTATTATTATTATTCTTCTAAGTGTGAGGTAATCGGCAATCTTTGTAAATTAACACAAGTACGCAATAGTCTTAAGTAGGGATGACAATTTTCCCCGCGAGTAAGGATCTTCACCAAATTTGTAAACACGAATTTCCTGCGACAAATGAGACAAGAACACGTGTACAAAATAATATTTGTATTAATGAAATTTAGGGTTACAATCTCTGTATTGAATCCTCTGATTCGATCTCCAAAGTGTTTAAAGAAAAGTTGTGTTTGATACAAGGGTCGTAGAGACTTGATCTTGATCAAACGAGTAGCACAAGGCTTGTTTGGGTGTTTGGATTTTTCTAGGGTGGAGGAACCGGCACGTATTTGTTGTGCTTGGTGACTCTTCCGAAGTGAGGTGAAGAATACGGAGAGTTTTCTGTTTCTTCTGAGTGCTTGGGTGTCTAAGCCTTCTTTTCCCAGCCCCTTTCTTCTGAATATGAGCCTGGTATTTATAGGCAAAGAATTGGGCCTTGGTTTGGAATCCTCAATCTGAATCCCTTGATTTGTGGGATTGATTTCTGATTTGATTTAA